ATCAGCAGAGATGTTGTAGATATGGATGGTCATAAATTTGCAAGTCTACAGTCCCTGTCTTGCTCTAGGCCTGATGTTTATTGTAGCTTACCTGATACAAGTGATCATCACACTGATGGTAATAAAGGAAAACATAAGAAAAGGCACAGGGATGAGAAGAGTGGAAAAGAACACAAAAACAAGCTAGATGATCCAGAGTACTTGGAGCGGAAAAGATTAAAGAAGATGAAGCGGAAGGAGAAAAAGATGGCAAAACTCTTGAATGATAGGGCACAGCCTTCATCATCTGTGGAAATTCAAACGAATATAGCAAAGTCTNTCTTGCTCTAGGCCTGATGTTTATTGTAGCTTACCTGATACAAGTGATCATCACACTGATGGTAATAAAGGAAAACATAAGAAAAGGCACAGGGATGAGAAGAGTGGAAAAGAACACAAAAACAAGCTAGATGATCCAGAGTACTTGGAGCGGAAAAGATTAAAGAAGATGAAGCGGAAGGAGAAAAAGATGGCAAAACTCTTGAATGATAGGGCACAGCCTTCATCATCTGTGGAAATTCAAACGAATATAGCAAAGTCTCTTAAAGACGATGTCCTTGTTGATCTAACCCAAAGAGAGGATGAAACTACATTTAGGGTAGCTACAGTTGGCCATCCATCAAACCCTGTGGCATCTAATTTGTATACCGGGATTACAGATCTTCGAAAGGAAGATGCAGCCGTACAATTGACAATGAGTGAGTCTAGTGGACAAAAGCTGGGAACCAATAGAGCAGGTACTACTGTAAATGCAGCTAAAGATAGTGTAGCCCCCCCTGCTCCCACGAGCTCTTCACATAAAATTAAGATTAGACTAAAAAGCAGAACACTTGGAAAATTGTGATTAATGTGGTCTTCATTTCAGAGAACGGGAATTTTCTGTGGTTTCTCACGTTTACCGTGTCGTAAGTAGCAGAGCTAATTGGATGTTGTATTTTTACCGATACTTGAATTGTAAAACCAATGGCCATATGCACATTTCTTCTCCAAGAGACTAGCAGTGTGTTCTGTATGAGTAAAAACTTCATGAGATGAACAGTGTGTTCTTGATTGTTTGTCCATTTAATCCATTTGTGTATTAGCTACAAAGTGCTTTGAAGTACATGATTAAAACTAGATTCACGCGATAAAGAGTGATAATGTTATCAATTTGCTTCATTCAAGAGAGAAAAGAGATTGATTAGTGATCCTTCCATCATTTGATTTGCATGCCATAGATTGGACCTATGATTTGTATGTGTTTCTTGCAACAGATGAGAGAAGATGTTTGATGAGGACCAGCCTTCTACTGGGACTTTTAGGTGCTTTTTGTATCATCTTAAGAACTTTTTGTAGTTTAAGTTTCTTGAGAAATCCTTCACTTGCCAGAATTGGTAAGCAAAGAAAGAGGATAGTGGATCTTCTTGTTTGATACCTCTGTTATATATGAAGAAGCTACATGGCCTGCCATGAACTTCATTTGACAAGGAGTTTTTTGAGAATACCTCACACAATGATAATAAGGAACTCACTAGAGAGCCCAAATTTGTTGAGAATAACAAAACTAATGTGCTATCAAACAATTTGGGTGTTTCTATTTGATTATAAGTTTATCAATAAATTATTTTTTACTTGAAAGATAGTAATGATATGTTTTCTCTGTGCTTATAAGTTGTTTATAAAGTTGAAAAATAAAGTTGGTTTTATCTATTTATTTTGAAGTTGATTTTTTTATTTTTCTATTTTGACACAATTATTTCCGAAATTATCCCTAACTTTTTACGAATATTCTCAAATAATTCATCTACCATCGCTTAATAAAAAATATGGAGTACTTCAATAAGCAACTTATAACTTTTACTTATTAGCAATAAGTCAATAACTACTAAGAATAGTAAAGAAACATTTCCTATATTTTCTCCTCTAGTTTTTCCATCTTAATTGCAACGTTCTTTCTTCGTATGAAAGTTCCTTGCTCCATAGAGATAGGCTTATGAAAGATTGTGGAAAGCCTTATAGGGCCTGTTTGAGAATAGCGTTAGAGATTAACGTTAGCGTTTTGGTTAACATTTTAACGGTGCAGATTACTTTGAAAATGCTAACGCTAAACGCTGGCCGGAGATAGTCTTTTCAAAATGCTAGCGTTAATCTCTAACACTATTCCCAAACAGGCCCATAGTCAAGATTCTAGTTATCACTTTGACGAAAAATAAACTAATCCTTTTGTTTCTTAAAAAAACAAAAAGGTTGATATGAGTCGAACCCAGGCAAAAGAAGCTATAATATATCTTGTAGAACCTGATCATTCTTTATCAATGTTACCAAAAAATCAAACCCGATTTATCTCATTTTGTACTAACCTCTCAACCACTTGAGCCATGTCACCCAGATAGTCGTTTTGTTTCTTGAAACGGCACAACAAGCTTTACACAACATTTTCTAGTTTGGTTTGAAAAGTATTTTTATTAAAAATTTTTAAACTAAAAAATGTCAGAGCATTTAGTTGGTTGCTAATATATTTCTTTTTTGAACATTACCTTGTCTTCAAACTAAATTCATACGGGGTATTCTTTTCGTTTCCAAAAAACACATTTCTTTTTTCTTTTTAATAAAAAATGTGTGGCTCATAATATTTCTCTTTTCTCTGAATAAATTACTACAAGTTTCTCACTTTTCAATATCTTTTGTTAAACTTCATGAAGTCAAATTATGCATTTAATTTGGAGACATAGGGAGTATAACTTTTTGTTATGAAAACACTAGTTGAAGACATTTATGTTATTCTATGACTTTGACTCTACATAGTCAAAGATGATAACACTAGTTGCAAAAAGTTTACAAACATTATCCAAGGCGTTAATTGGACCCAAATATCAATTCACAATATTGGTAAATTAATTATTTTAATAAAAATTGGATCGATCAACTGAACTGAAAGAAATGAGACGATTCACATATTGATTTTGATTCACAATATTGAATCAGTTATACATTTTTTTAATGTATAAACCAAAGCCAAATTGATCATTAATGTATGAAGTATTTTGTGTGTATATTCAACTTTATCTATTTGTTCACTTTGTTTAATTGGTTATGTAAAAGGTAACCAACTACATTTGACACAAATCTGATGTACCCCAAACATGATTCATACATTTCTTTGTACAAGTCAATTTGTCAAATAATACCCCCTAAATTTAGGTCAATGACAATATCTAGTTTTTTGATACACTAAACTTAAATAATCCTAACATCTACTTGGGAATTACAATCTACAAATTTCGGACAAATATGTTTTACTACCTCCACCCTTGAGTATTTGTCCAGTTTTAACTTTTTTCGGTCAACCATTTTCACCCTTTGACCTATAATTAAATAAAATATATATTGTATATTAATTAGATAAAATAGTATTTTGAAAATATTTGATATAACAAATCTAATAAATTATTTGTGTATCAATATTTAATATCATTTTTATTTAATTTCAGGTTAACATTTATCTGTTTAACCGAAAAAATTTAAAAGTAGATAAATACTCAGAGACAGAGGAAGTATTTTTTTTTCTAATGGTACCATAGCAATTTGACCTTCATCCTTAATGAAAATACCCAAAAATCATAGACATACAAGTTTATATGCACACGCACATGACTTCAATTTTGTATGGCCTTGGCCCAATATATTTAAAAGTTCAATATTCTCTCTATTTTGAAATTTTAAGAATCAATTTTATATAAATATTAGAGTATTTAATTGTCAGTTTGTATTATTGATTATAAAAAAAAAAATTAGCCTCAAATTGAAATGAAAACTACTCTACACGAACAAAATAGAGCCTAAAACATATATTTACCTAAAGGCAATTTAGCCGTGTCACACAATTTGTCGTTGGGTTGCCTCTTTTGAGGTTGTGCACGGGATAAAATTGCTAAAACAAAGAATAATGTTGCATTTTGTTCGCCTGATCTGATCTGATTTGCTTTTTCGAAAGTCTGATATGGTCTTATCTGATCTAATTGTAGTTAGAATTAAATTTATTTCTGATATGATTATAAGAATAAGTAATAAGAAGAAAAATAAGCTGAGTGAAACACTGCCTAAGTTATGTGAAAAATTATGCACATATCAATGTATCATACATCTTTTGGAATGACAACGGGTCAAATTTTAGTCGGATAAACTCCATCCTCATCCATCAATCACCGATTTAAATATGTTTATTACCCGATTTATCTGTCATTCATTGCGTACATTATCTATCACCTAATCTATCCATCATTCACGGGTAAAACGGATGAAACTTGTAAAAACAAGCTATATAAATCCCTCCGTCCCATTTTAAATTGTTTTTTTTTTTCTCCGTCCCAAAATAAGTTGTGTATTTCTTATTATAATAAACTTTTAAGGATAAAATATCTAAACGATCTCTAAAATAAGTCATTCCTCTCCACATTGTCTTCTCATTCATCGTCACACTCCTAAAAAAGTAATTGCATTTTTGAAAAATCAACAATATTTTTTCACTTCCTTAAATATGCCCCAAATTTAAAACAGGCAATATATATCATTAACCCAATGAAACCAAAAACTTTGAAGCGTATAACACCAAATCTTTAAAAAAATAAGATATAACTGCAAAGAAACAATATTCTAAGTTACGAGTAAGGTTTTCAATATTGATTTTTTTATTAAAGTAAACATGAATGTGTCATGTGACGGGAGAGAAACATCTCCACCGGCATCCGACTCGATCCATCAATGTTAAACGTTGAAGCCCATTTTTTGACACAGGGCAAAGAATAGGAGAAAGGTGGAGAGATATAATAGTGTGTATTTATACATTTGGAGCATTGTACATGGAAGATCTAAATGAGCATTCTCTTAAAACAAAATGAGAACACCCCACAAAAAAATGTGTATTTTTTAGAACAAAAAAGGGCAAATATCACAAACAAAAAGACAATGAAATGATCATTGTTGTTTAGACGAGGTATATATTATGTCTAACAAATTGGAGAACCTCCAAGTAAACAAAACTTTACTACATCCAACCAGGTCAACCTAATACTTATAAAAAAGGAAAAACCATCTCTCTTATATGCACTTGGATCCACCTAGATTTATGCAGTTTTTGCTAAACAAATGCTCACTAGATTTACTCGAGTTCCCCAAACCAAAACGACCGATAGAGGTTTGGACTTTGAGATTCAATTTGCAATCCAGCAAGAAACATACAATAAGAAACCTACCATTCAACAAGTTAGTCAAGCATTAACTTTAGCAACCTTTCTATGCTCCACTTGGCCTGTCAGCGGGCACTGCATCTCTGTCCAACTTATTGGAACCATGGTAGCGCCTATTGGATAACCGACATATATTAGTATCAAGTTTAGTCGAATACAAATTTGTTCACAAGGAATTAATATCATTTTAGTTCATCAAAATGAAACCATGCCCAATCACACCACACTAGTGCACTTTTGCCATTTTGAGATATCTAGAATTAATTGCAAGCTAATCTTACTTGGCAAACACACTATGGTGGATTACACAAAATACCACCAAAGAGCATATAAAGCTCATTGTCAACAATGGACAAGCCAATTACAAGGGGTTTTTTGTGATTTCACCCGATTTGTGAAATTTGAAGGGTTGGGATGACTGGATAGCTAAACCTGGGTGAAGGGGATAATATTTTGTGACCACAATGATTATGCAAGCCAAACATTACATGTATGATAGACTACAACTGATAAATAAATGAAACATAATAACAATCTAGCATTGATCCCAAGTGACAGGTTGGCTTATATGAAACAAGAGATGATCTCTTGAGACCGATCCACAAAGTTCTGTGTTTCACTTTTTTGTCATGCACTATCTACACCTAGAATCCAAGAGCCATTAGTCCTCTTTATGGTCTTAATCCATTTCATTCTCAGTGTAGATAGACTCCTTTTAGAATCCAGATTTCCAACACTAAACTCTCCGCACTGTATAAACACAACAAAAACTAAAGGGCCTAAAAGAAAAGAAATATTACCTGCTGAACTCTCTGCGGATACCACGCCCAGTTCATTCTTGGCCGTTGATAAATAATATGATCGCGCATCTCCAAGTGATAGCTTGTTAGAGCAGTAATATTAAGGCCAACTAATCTTCCATTCATCAAGTTTGCTTAGCATGTAATGTACCAAAATTGAGCAGCTAAGAAATAATTCTAAACTGACCCCACCGACTCTTATAAATTTATCACCCAATTCCAGTACTTCACTTTCTACTATTATACACCCGCAATACTTGTTTCAATCACAACATCCTCTCCTCCTACATAACAGTTGTCTCACCAATTCCTCAAAATCCACTCAATGCACTACCCACTACACGAATACAAATAAAATATTGCATACACAATGACAAATTTGCACCGAGGCAGGGACAGGTATTCATACAGGCTATACAGCAGTGGGGTAAAAAATGTGGAAACACCATTTTCCAAATTTTCAAAAGGATTTGGGGGTCACAATATTCTCACGTATTTAAACAGGAATGTTTTGGGGCGGGAAGCGAGACTTATTTGAAGAATCCGTTCAATATAGCTCAACAAAAATTACTTAACTTACTAACCAAAATGATATAAACCATTACGTTTAGGGTCTAAAATGTTGGAATTTTTAGTTTGAATACCACAATGATACGAGGGTTCTAGTTTGAGGATTAAATATAAACCAATACGTTTATATCTATGTTTATACCATAAGAAATTTGAATGTAAGGGAGGTGAATTTCTAGAGTACTGTAATTTAATTTTAAAGTACAAGATCGTTGACTGAATCTGTTGCAAACTTCATTAAATTTCAGGTGTTGTTTAAAGTCTGTACATTGTACAAGTGTTGATTGAATACACCATCCCAAGTCATCTAAAGAGTTATGACAGCCATATTTTGTGCACTAGGCTCTAGTACAACTCACATTGTAGGAATCATATAAACTATAAAGTTTGAAAGGATGACACTTTGTAAAAGTAAAGCCATCAACATGCAAGGAAGAAACCACTTGTACCATATAGATATGTAACATACATTATCTGTTAAGTGTTAACAAAATATTTTTAAAGCTCTTCCTGGGGACAGCTTGTTCACCTCCATGGAAAGAGGTAAAGGTATGCATGCATTCATCATCCCCCCACCCCACCCCCAAGATACGACCTCCAAGACACACTGGGTATGCTTGATTTTATTTGGTTTGGTAATTTGCTAACAAAATATTAAATTCGTATTTTCATAATCACTCATATTTATCATCTTTAATGCAAAGGATACGACCAAAGCTCTAACGATGTCACCTGGACGAAAAGATAAATGCATATCCACTTTATCAATCTCAGTTGCTCTGACATCTTGTTGCCTGTTTAGTTCAAGAGAAACAAGAAAGCTTAGAATCTCAGTAATATTCAAGAAAAGGGGAAAGCTTTGACTATTGGTCAATGTCTTGCAGCATCATGAGAAAAATTTAACTAGCTATGTCCACAGCAATTAGGGATCTACGAATTAGAATACATAATCATAAATCAGAATGCACTGCTTAGGAAATAGGAACAATGAATACAGTTTGGTATAAAAGAAGATGACTTTGGAAATTCATTTGAAAATGAAACCCAAGGTTTTTCATTTGCAAATGAATTCTATCAAAAACCTAGTGTTTGAAATGAGAAAGTTGAATTGCAGAACTTATTTGAATTCCATAAAACTATGTTTCATATAGATGCGTACATACTTGATCGACACATGGAGTACAATCATGAAATCACAACTGGACTTCATCAATTTTCTAAATATACAGGATCTGAAGGTCTCTTCCAAATCAATTTGGGAAATTTGACATGAACATATGACAGAGAAACCAGGTAATATGTGTATGTTTCCTGCTTCGTGCAAACATATATTGTTAATATATGCTTAAATGATCATTTTAGCAAAATATATGCTGATAATTCTTTAACAAAATAACAAACACACTTAAGTCTAAATAAACACATAATTATTTGATCTATTATTCAACTGAGTATATAAATTTTTTTGTGTCCGTGATACCTCTATGAATGAGGCATTGAGTTTTGAAGAAAGATCCCCCCGAGTAGTGCACAGCTTGCAATATGTCATAGAAGCTCTATGAACGATATCACGAGCATAGGTGGACTGGGATAAAAATAAGCCATGTTTGTCTCATGTAGCCGTGATGCCCAGAAAATGATGTAATGGCCCAAGATTGGTAATGGCAAACTCTCGTGAGAGCATGGAGATGACACGTTTTAGAAAACTAGCATCGGAAGCCGTGGGGATAATATCGTCAACATAAAGTAAAAGATATTCAGGATGGCCCCCTTGCAATAGACGAACAAAGAGGTATCACAGACACTGCTGCAAAAAGTTTACTTTTCAACACCGTATCATCAAAAAGATCAATGCTTTTCTTAAATTCTGTGAAGTCAAGCCATAAACTTCATTTCGGAACGGAGAAAGTAATTTGTTCTGGCATTAGACTTGCAAAAAGATAACAAATGGGCATGGAATTTAAAAGCTTAATGATTTAGGCCATGTTCTCTTCAACTTATTTTTATTACAAATTACTTTTTCTTATTGGAATCAGATCAGATCAGAAATAGCTTTAAATATAACTACATTCAGACCAGATCAAATCAGACCAGATCAAAACTTTTTCCAATCATATCAGAACCATTCAGATCAGGTGAAGAGAGCATGCGTTAGTATTTGTAAGTATAATGAAGCATTGAACGCTTGCTATGGTTCCAAATATATCAGACATCCAATAACAGTAATGGATTGCAAAGTGTGGACAATTGATGGGTATGCTCAAAATGATTTAGCTTCTAGTGATGCAAAAGTTGGTGGCTTGACATGGAGTGATGTGATTAGAAAAACAAGGGCAGAAAAGTGATTAGATTCGCTAAGAGAAAGCCACACTCATAATCAAAACCTTACCCATAGACTTGAGGATGATGAAAGTGAGGCAAATTCATATGAAACTAAAGGGGATGTTGCATAACAGAAGTCAGATGAATGATAGTGATCACAAAGGGTTGGGAGTTCAGAAATGGGCTAGAATCTAAATGACTTTGCTTCTTAATATTTAAGTTTATCTAATGAATTTGGTGTTAAATTTGGTGTTACATGTTTTTGAAATGTGACTTTATGTTTTAAAATTTGCATTAACTATTATCATGGGCCACTCACCTTCCATGAGCTTGATGAGCACTTCTTAAGATTCGGGCAAGATACAACTTTTTGCATCCAGATATATTTGATTTTAAAAACTGGAGAATTTATGTAAAGCAATATTAATAAAAAATAAAAAATAAAGGTAGTGGGAAAAACTTGGATCCACATGTTTGCAAAAAATCATCGGATTTTTTTCAATGCAACATATGAATTGGAACAATCCATAATGTTTCAGTGGTCATAAGAACACCCATAGATTACCTGATGGTACCAGTGAATTTTTCACGAACAGCCTTGAAACCAACACACATTATATCCACTAAGGACATCCTTGCCATCACCTTAGTGACCTGATGCAATCAAGTATAGAGTGTTAGAGATTCCAAACAAAATCTATAGCAAATAGAAACATTACTGAAATTTAAAGCAATTCTCTTTTCCTTTTAATACAAGAATTTAACAAATGACATAATGTAGTATGATGATAATACTGTAATACTTAATGTAATATGGTATTTGAAGTAAAGAGAACTAGTAGACATATCTATAGCTTTCCTTTAGTAAAACATTTTATAAAGAACAGCAAGTCCCAAAACAAAATAGAGAAAAAAACAAAAACAGAAAATTGGATGTTCTAACTATACAATTCTTGAAAAAAGATTTTTTTACTGTATATTGCGATTATTGCAATTACAGAAGTTTAAAATGATACTCTGTAGTCCGTACTATGTACCTTTCACTATAAAAATCACTAGTGTGTGACAAAGAAATTCAAGTAAAATTTTAACACCTTTCTCTTTGAATTAGGAGCATAATTTAATAAACTCTAATGACAAAATAAATTTTACCCTGGCTAAAACCATCGAGCCTGGCTGAGGAACAGGTCCATGTGCCTTATGTCCAGTAACCTCCACAGTTGGTCTCTGATGAATATGAGCAGCAACAAAAGACAGTAAGACACCATAAACATGAATAAGCACAAAAGACATAAATGTGATATAATTAAAAAACTGGGAAATGATTTTTTCTTCATCAACCAAATGAAGAAAAAAATTAACTAGTGTAAGATACACTTGCATATGGCTCTTGGCATAATTGTTATGTGCATATCTCACCAAAATCTTGTAAGATTACAATGCCTCATACACTGTTCTCGGTTTTTCAAGTACGCCTTATAGATATGTGTATATAAGTCTTCATGTTTTTTAAGAAACAAACATGATTTGGTTTAGGGTTATTTTTTTCCTTTCCATCTTAACTAAATGTTCTCAACCAAGTGATTTTTAGCCAAATCTCACACCACTATATAGTGACAACTATATTATCCATTGTAAATTGTTCAATCTAATTAAGGAGTACTTTTGAATTTTTGCATAAAACTATATTTTGTTTTGCATGATGCTTGAATTTACAAATCCCTTCGTCCCAATGTTTTTTTCTAGTATTTCTTTTTGGGCTACCCAGTGTATTTTTCCACTTTGCTTTTTTAAGTAACTAAACATTAGAAAGAAAGCCTATTTTACCTCTCCTCATTTATTCACCACTCAATCTCCTTTTCCGTATACATAAATCTTCAACCATGTCTTCCTTTTTCATTCCGGCTGAAGGAGAGTACAACACCGTTATCAATGTTCTTCCTCACAGTCAAATCTATGTTATTCCTCTTCCTCTGTGTCAGATCCGAAGACATTTGTGTTCCCTATCTTCATCTCTGGGAAAGATGCCGTTCTCAACTTCAGTAAATTGGTTGAACCAGCATTAACCTCATCTAATCGAGATGTGGCTGACAATACAAAAATTCTTCAACCTTGAAACGTCCACAACCACTCCGCTACCTTAAAAAATCTTCAACAAATCTCCCCATTCTTGTGAAATGCCAATTGTTGCTCCCCATGCCATTAATTTAGTGTGCCTGGGTGGTGTTGCTTGAATGGCGAAGTGGAGTTTCCACTATGCATGGAGTCAACGACATTCATTTGTAAATCTAACATGAATGGAGGGGTGTTTTAGAAGTCCATGCTTATTCTCTCTTTCATGGTATTTGTGTCTATTGTCAAAACAAAAGTGGACAAAAATACTGGAATGGAAGGAGTATTTTGGTGATGCTACGTTTTGGTTGTTAGATTTGATTATAAAGTTTATTGACTACAACAATAACAGCAGCAAGCCAGCAACATCATCAACAACAAAAAACCTTGTATAATCCTAACTACGTCGGGGTCTGATGGTCAAGATGTTTGCAACATTACTCTATACACAGAGTGGCCAACTCATCACTCTTGCTGCATTTACTTCCAAAAACATGGGAAGTTTAATTTGCCATTTCGATATAGTCCATTATTTATCTGAAGCTAAAAAATGTCGAAAGGACTCTTTTAGCTACATTAGCAATGGACAAAATTTATTGAACTTTAACAAACTTTTCTTGTATTACCTTAAGTTCTTAGTAACATTATTTTCTATAAATTTATAAATTTGTACTAACAATGATGTTGTGTCTCAATAAGCAATGAGGCTTACACCTTGCGTCATCTCGCTAGACCGTCTCAACTACATTATACAGTATACACAATTTTAAGGATTTCTAGTTTCAGAGGCTTATCACTAAGGGATGAAATGATGCAAAAGAATTTGTATTTGATGCATCCAATGAAGAATATGAATAAGAATATAACAAAGATGAACTCTTTGATGGTGGCTAGGATAATGCATTTGGTATGATATGATATTGATTTTGATGATTGAGTTGTTTGATTTGTGATGATAAAATGTTCTTTAATTTGAAAACTATATTGGAACTTGATGGGAATCTTTTGAACTTTTGTTATCTCGGTGTTTTATGCTTTATTTTGTAAGTGTGAGTTTCTTTACTTGTTTTTGGAATTTTAAATGGATAAATTAGTGTTTGTCATTGTTTTCACCTCATGTTCTTGAGGTGTCTGCATCTGGCTCTAGGAGATTTGCGTCTTGATGAGCCTCTAATTCTTTAATAGCTATGGCTCTTGTAGTCCTAGTCTCCTAGAACACTAACTACTACGTCCTCCAATTTGACAATCAACTTCGCACTTTCTTTTTCCATCTGTATCAAATAAACTTTTCACTTCTACTTTTTCCTCTTAAGAAAAAGAATTTGTGACCTACGGTATGCTGGTAATTAGACTCTTAAAAAGTGGGACTCTCATCTTCAATAAGGAGTCTCATTTCGGAGTCCGACTTATGGTTTTACATTTATATTCTATTTAATAATATCTAAACTATTTTTACATAAATACTATAATCGATAAAAATATTATACATGCATTTACAAGTCCTTTCTTTTAAAAATAATTTTGTATTTAAAAATATGGGTATTCATTAAAAAAAGATTGCATAGCCGTTCCAGTAATAACATACGGAGTACAAGTTTAACCCATTAAGTAATAAACTTTATCCACAATGCCATTAAGATCCTAAAAATTACTCATACTCTGTACCCATTTTCATTCAGAACCCATATTTTTTCACTTATTTTCAGCTAAATTCAACTCACTTCAGCACTAAGTAACGACTATGAAGTCAAATCTTAACTAAAGTTACAGCACATGCACATTGAATGAGATGCTTAGCTTACCGATATATGGAAAACTCAGTTCCGGAATCAAATGCGTTAGAACAAACTATAAGGCGAGTGTTTTTTTAGAGGGAAACTGCGTACCTGGTCAGGAGAGTCGGACGATGGGTGTATGAAGGAGCGGAATCCGGTGATGGCGGAGACTACAGTCCTTTTGTAGAGGTAAGCCCCTTTCCCGGCTTTGTACTGCAGAGCCGATCCCAGCACTTCTCCCGGCGTCGCCAACGACTGGTCTTCCATTTAGGTTTTCAGGCGGCGGGAACAAATATAGAGCGGTAGGGTTTTCCGATTATCCCTAAAACCTGCGCTGGCCGCCTTTAGGACGGACTTGTGAAGAAAAAGAGGGTTTAGGTTTCAAACTTAAAGTAAAGAAAGAAATTGGGACCAAATATAAAAAAACATTTTGTTTTAAAAGGTTTTGAGTCATTGTTTTCTATCTATCCATCCAAAAAAAATTCCCCATTTCACTTAGTACTGAGATTAATAAAAATTTTAAAAGTATAAATATTTTTTATATTTGTTTTTTATGTGATTAAATAAAGTAAATAGTAAATAAAAAGTAAAGATATAATGACATATTTATTAAAAGATTTCTGCCAAAATAGGAAACGAAAAAGAAAATGTAACGAGTCGAAACTAGTTAGATCAAACTTATAACAACAACAACCTAGTAGGATCTCACAAAAATTACAAATTATATTATACAACCAGTTGAACCCAAAATTGCAGGCTAAAAAGAATCAACAAAAAATGCAGGCTAAGGGGAGAACTTGCGAATCGGAGATCGCGAGGGACTCACTGATGAAAGTGGAGAAAGTGATTGTATATGAGATCGACGAAAGTGATGGCGGCTAAAACTTGTGAAAACCTAGGCGAATTTCAGCGAAGAAGATGATGGAGGGAGTAGCAAATGTAGAAACTCTAGATCCGCCTAGCGTTTCAATGAAAAAGATGAAGAATGGTTCCAAATTACAAACTCACAAATTTGGAATTAACGGTAAGTTAGTTGAGAAAAGAAAATCCTCTAAATAAAAGTAAAACATATGTTATATCTTCAAAGTAGGAGTTTAAACTTTAATTCCCCTAAATAGGAGTAATGAACTAATTTAAGTTTTGGTCAAAATTTTCTCTCTCTAGAAGAGGGGTTGTGTTCTTCGCAGTTCCAGTCGGCCCCCTAAATTGCTATTACCCTTGAATTTGTGGTTCGCTTTTCTTGATTTTTTAGATCTTTTGGATCATCTTCAGTAGCTCTTTATGATTTTTCGCTGTTGATTTAGGGCTGAATCGAGGTTAATTGAAGTTGAAATCCCTCTGAGTTACTATTCATCCTCATCCTTTGTATGTCTGATTTTGCTGGATTTTTGGCCATATCGAAGCCTAATTCTAGAGAGATTGTGAGCGACTAGCTTAGCCCACTGAGATTCTTACGTTTGTTCATCATTCGAAACAAAGATTCTTGATTTTGGCCAGGATTGAGTTTTCGAGCACTGTTCACAGCGCGACTTGGAATTCCAATCCTAAGCGGGTTCTTGTTGTATCTCTTTATTTTTCTGGTATTCTTGGTAAAATTCAAGGAGTAATAAACTATTTTTCATTTAAAATAATTACAATATAATATTAAATATATATAGAATATAATTAACACTCCTTTCACCCTCTCCACCATTTTTGTTGCCTCCGGGAGATATGCTTTCATAGCCTTGTGTAAGTCTGAATTCAATTTTATATTCAATCTGGCATAAGTGGTTACATTTGATTTGAAATTTGAAAATATACTCATAGAATTATTTTGTAAAATTTGTACTAATTCTTTCAGACGTGCGTAAGTTTGAATTCAATTTCATATTCAATTTCACATTAATTGTGACACTTGATTTTAAATTTGGATTTACTTCTTAGGAAATTATTTTATAAAACTAGTATTGAAATTAAATGATTATGGTCTTGGCAGATCATAGAGTTTTTTGACATTTAACTTTTTTGGACATTATGCATTATTATGTGTGAGATGTAATATTATAAATGGGCATATATATCATTATACATTGTCATGTGTGACATTATACAATATCATGTCTGGCATTATCTAGATGAGCCGACTATAGAGAATGATTCTTAATTATCATTAGAAATAAGGCCTAATATATATAGGCGTGTACAACTACTACAATGATCTAACTACCATAAATAGCTATAGCTACCAAGAATAAATACAAAAGGAATAACTACAAATAACTACAAATTAGGAATACATATCACATAAATAAGGATCCATTGGAGACGCCAATCTTGGACCGAAATTTGTGAAAGAGAAGACGCGGAAGCGGTTTGGTGAGAATGTCAGCTAACTGATCTGTAGTCCGCACGTGAGCCACCCGAAGTGCACCAGACGAAACCAGCTCTGGGACAAAGAAGTAATCCAACGCTAAGTGCTTCATGCGCGAATGGAAGACCGGATTTTTGCAAACATGGAGTGCACTAACATTGTCACAGTAAAGGAGAGGAGACTCGGTCAGAGGAATGTGAAGTTCTCGAAGCAAACTCTGAACCCATTGCAGCTCAGCCACGGCATTTGCTAAGGCACGATACTCAGCCTCTGTCGAAGATCGAGACACGCTTTTTTGCCGTTGAGACTTCCAGGAGATAATATTAGGGCCAAAATAAAGCACATACGCCGTGGTAGAGCGCTCCCCATCGGTGATACCACCCCAATCAGCATCAAAGAAAGCAGTGAGCCGAAAAGGAACCTGACGCGACAAAACCAAGCCATGAAGAATAGTGCCTTTGAGATAATGTAGGAGACGCTTGAGAGCTGCTCAGTGCCGAGCCATGGGATGGTGCATAAACTAAGCAAGTTTGTTAACAACAAATGAAACATCAGGCCTAGTCAGAGCAAGATACTGCAGGCGACCAATCAGACGACGGTAGGCAGTAACATCCAGGGGGGAAGCGTCATGAGTTAGTGTAGGAATAATATCAGACTGCATAGGAGTGGCTATGTCCCTTGCCCCCGTCATAGAAACATCCTCGAGAATATCCATAATATATTGAGATTGAGACAGAAACAAACCGTTACTAGTGGGAATCACCTCAACCCCAAGAAAATGACTTAACGAGCCCAGATCTTTGAGAGAAAACTCAATGGCCAAGGCATGTACAAACTTGTCAAGAAATGCGGAATGACTACCTGTAAGAATGATATCATCAACATACACCAGAAAGTACGTCGTTATACCGTGCTGATGATAGACAAAGAGAGACGCATCGGACTGGGCTTTCCGAAAGCCACTCTGGAGGAGAAACCGAGACAGCGCCTCATACCACGCCCGAGGTGCTTGTTTCAGTCCGTACAAGGCACGAGATAACCGGAATATATGAGAGGGGTAGGTAGAGTCAACATAGCCAGGGGGCTGCTCCATGAAGACCTGTTCCTCCAACCGGCCTTGCAAAAAGGCATTATTCACATCAAGTTGACGCAAAGGCCAACGGTTAGCCAACGCAATGCTCAGAACCAAACGGATGGTGACCGGTTTCATAACCGGACTAAATGTTTCAAAATAGTCACGACCTGCCTCCTGAAGGTACCCCTTAGCCACTAGGCGTGCCTTATAACGATCGACCGAACCATCAGCTTTCCGTTTCACCCGGAAGATCCACTTACACCCAATAGGCCGATGAGAATCGCGTGGAACGAGGGTCCATGTTTGGTTTCGAAGTAAGGCCTGGTACTCAGCGTCCATGGCCTCCCTCCAGCGAGGATCCTTGAGGGCCTGGGCAACGGTCTTTGGTTCATGGGTAAGAGGAAGGGGATGTTTAGTGGTGGAATTTATACGTGGAGGATCGGAGACGAAGTCAGAGTTGAAGTACCGAACATTAGGACGACGACTGCGAACCGGGCGAGGCGACGGCGGCGCAGTCGCCGAGGAGACAGAGGAGTCCTGAGAGGGCAACGGTGAGGACTGTATCGGTACATTATTGGTGACAGTAAGGGGTGGGTTAGGCAGGGGATCCGAAGAAGGAGTGGATTGGGGAGTAGATGACGGTGTAGGGGATGCTGATGGTGCAAAACGAGGAGGGATAACTGGGAAGGAGACCGGAAGTGATGGGCTGGTTGAGGGAGAAGGGGTGATAACAGACGGGTAAGGAAAGACATGAGGAACGAACTGAACATGACGAGAAAGATAGACACGATTAGTGGATGGATCAAGACATTTGTACGCAGATTGAGACGTGGAGTAGCCCACAAAGAGACATGGGGAGGATCGAGGTTGGAGTTTATGGGAGGTGTAGGGACGCAACCACGGATAACAGAGGCACCCAAACGGTTGAAGTTTGAGGTAGTTGGGTAGAGCATGGAAGAGCTTTTGGTAAGGGGATTGGTGGTCAAGAACAGGGGTAGGCATACGGTTGATAAGGTAGGCGGCAGTTAAGAACGCAAACGACCAAAATTTGAGAGGCATGCGAGCATGATGGAGCAGTGAGAGACCAGTCTCAACAATATGACGATGACGTCGCTCTGCTGATCCATTATGCTCGGGGGTATGAGGAGGTGTGGTAAGGTGGGATATGCCAAAGGTGGCAAGCATGGGACGGAGCTTAATGAATTCACCCCCATTATCAGAAAACATGGTAACAATTTTGCGTTTAAAAAAGTTTTCCACCAAGTTTTTGAATTGAGGAAAAATTTTATACACATCAGATTTATGGGACAACGGGTAAAGCCACACATATTTAGTATAATGGTCCACAAAAATAACATAATACAGATGACCGTCTATAGTACGTTCCTTGCAAGACCAAACATCAGAATAAACAAGCTCTAGAGGGGCAGAGCTAACAAGTGAATTATCATGAAAAGGTAATTTATGGCTTTTATTGATGGCACACGAGGAACAATGAAATTGTTGGATATCCTTAACTGGAAAACACCGATGACATAGACGCAACATGCTGGATAAAGTTTTAAGAGAGGGATGACCGAAGCGATGATGAAAGTCAACGAGCGAGCTTCCATCATGAACATGCACTTGGGGAGACAGATGAATAGAGCGAGCATAGTAGACACCATCAAGATTGTCCCCGGTGAGAAGTTTCGCCCCCGTTTTCAGATCCTTCACATGAAACGAAAAGGCGAAAAATTCAACAGAAACTTAGTTAGTTTGACAGAGTTGTGAGACAGAAACTAGATGATGACGCAAATTAGGAACACATAGCACATTAGATAAAGTGAGGGGACGAGAGGGGGTAGGAAGGAGTGTGGAACCAGTATGAGTGATGCGAAGACCATTACCATTACCCAGACGGATCTCATCCGGACCTCCGTAGTCAGAGAAGGAATGAAGCGACTGAGTAGAAGGCGTTGTGTGATGACTGGCTCCAGAATCAAACAGCCACTGGGGTGGGGCTGTAGCAGGGTGGATGCCCGTAGAGTTCGCCACAGGCTGTGGAGCTATACCGTGGGTGCGGAGGAAGCGGGTAAGTTTTCGGCAATCTCTAACATCATGCCCCTGGATGGAACAAAACTGGCAGCCACTGCCTGTGCTCGACCGCTGCTGCCGACCGAGTGACTGTCCATGGCCGCGGCGAGATGAACCACCATCACGGCCACCATCTCGGGAGGATTGACCGAACCGCGAGCCCCCACTGCCACTCGATTGGTGCTGACTATAATTGGCCGTGGCGATGGACAGATTCCGAGTGGCTTCAGTTAGTTGGATCTTCTTTTCATGCTCCTTCAAAATATCCCCAAGTTCTTTGAAGGAGAGGGGCTCGACACGCACTCGAGCAGCCGAAGCGATGGAGTCATACTCATCACCCACCTGATTTAGGACATGGACGACCAGATCTTCTTCCGAAACTAGACTTTGAACCAACGCCAGTTCATTTGCAATATTCTGCATATCAAACAAGTAATCATTCATGGAACGATCACCTTTGGGATTTTTTCCCAATTGGGATTTGAGAGAGACAATACGGCCGCGGCTTGAACTGGCAAAGGCGGCATGAAGGTTTTTCCAAGCATCACATGCGGTGTCACATGTAGAGATGAATGGTTGAACCTGATCTGAGCAGCTACCAAGGAGAGCGCCAATGATGGACTGATCTTGACGAAACCAAATAGAGTAGCATGGGTTGGCCGCACCATCAACGAGTGGAGGCGGCGCGGGAAGGGTACCATCGACATACCCCATAAGATCAAGCGCGATGAGCGTTGAGCGAACTTGGCGCTGCCATATGGAGAAGTTGGTGGAAATCAACTTGATGGGGAAGTGTGTCTTGGCGTGGAGTTGAACCACGGGAGTGTCCTTGGTGATAGCAGGTGCCATGGATCGGACGAGAGAAGGAGACGTGGTAGTCGAAGCTGGGCAGAAAAGGGCTGGTGATGGTCACACGGCGATGGGAGACCTGCGAGGAAAGGCAGGCAGTGACCGGCGATGGAGGCACGGCGCACGGTACAGGATCGTGGGAAGGAAGAAATTCCTTTTAACTCTCCGATACCATATAGAGAATGATTCTTAATTATCATTAGAAATAAGGCCTAATATATATAGGCGTGTACAACTACTACAATGATCTAACTACCATAAATAGCTATAGCTACCAAGAATAAATACAAAAGGAATAACTACAAATAACTACAAATTAGGAATACATATCACATAAATAAGGTAAGTCAATTATCTTCAATACCGACTATGAATAATAAGGTCTTCCTAGATGAGGTGGTGTACAACCAGCTATAAGTGATATAATGACATATTTGTTCTTAATGAGTGCTATATTTGGCATTTTGCTTCTCTTTGACATTATATAGTGGCCTATTTGTACTTATTAGTGGCTATGTTTGGCATTATAGATTGTAATTTTTTGCATTGTGGTATTATTGCATTGTATAAAGAGTATTTATTTTCTTGACAATCACGATAAGACCATAATACTACGTACGGAAAAGATGGTGGATCCCGGTGGTGTTGGCGGCGAAGGAGTCGAGCTTGGTGATGTAGGACATCATCAGCAACACACGATTCCACGGTGCGGGGCACGAGGGTAGGTCATGGGTAATTGTCGATGGTGTGGGTGGCAACAGGGGCGAACTTGGTGATGTGGGAAATCACTAACGATAATATATTGCATGCATGGTGGTGGCAGGCACGTGGAGGGTGTAGTAGGAAGTTTTTGGTGGGAGTGACGGTGGGTTGGCGGAGATAGTGACCATTGCACATTTTTGTGCTAGATTGTTGGTTGACAAACATAAAACACACACACACAGATATATTTATAACTAAAGATATTTCAAAAAAAGAAGAAAAGAAGAAGAAAGTGCATACACTACTAATATTGTCTATTATGAGAAGTTAAAAAAATTAGAAATATTTTGGAAGTGTTATCTTTGGTCCGCAATGTTTTTGCTTCATTCAACAAAACTTTTGCAACCTTCTCCAGTGATCTATATTCCTTATTTCTTTTAACTCTTGGACAAGGTGATTAATTAAGTTAATTACTCAACTTTAGGAGAGTTTAAGTTTAAGTATTTTATTTGAAAATGAGTACCACTTTATTTCGGAATGAACATTACGTTATTCGTAGATGAATACTCCCTCCGTCCTAAAACCTTCTTCCCGTTGCGCAAAACGAAGAAAAATCCCAAGTTTTTTCAATCTGTTTTATTTAAATATTGGTATAGAAATAAAAAATTAAACATACATATTTAAAAACTACATCAAAAGTTCAACAAAACAAGTGGTGACAAGAATATTTTATTTTATCATATAGGCCATGAAAAAACACAAATAAATATAAATTTCCGTGAAGTTGGAATAGTGCTCTGGGAAGAAAGTTTTAGGACGGAGGGAGTATTACAATTAAATTAAATAAATGTATGAAAATGAGTACTACGTTATTTTAAAATGATACTACGTTATTTAAGAATGAATACCACGCTATTTCAAAATAAATAGTTATGTTGATGCGAGAATAAGTATTACTGGTACTTTATTTTAGAATAAGTACTACGCGGTTGTACCTTACTTCTGATACAACTGGTTATATCATATGTAAAATTTGTTGTGTATAAGACTAAAAGATACAAGTTTTTCCTATATAGGACTAATAATGTTTTTTTCCTTTTCTAAGAGTATTTTTTAAAAAAATTCCTTTCCTACCCCTAAATTATAGACGACCACTTGTGTGGATAAAACCAACCCCCCTTTGCAGTTTTTTTAGTTTTTATCTCTAAATATTTTATTTTCATAATTATGGGTTAATTAGCCACTATTTACGCCTATAGTTTAGGAAAAAAAATTATTACTCCACAACCCCTAATTTATCTCCACTCATCAGATTTTGCCTTACCATTTTTCCTCCTCGCCTCCTCAGCATTGCTTTGTTCTACTTCTTTACATATATATTTTGCTTTGTGCTTTGCCAATTTTTATTACTTTTAAAATAATATAATAATGTCATTTTTTGTTTTTAAAACATTTTTGCCACAGTTTTGTAGAATCTTTGATATAATTTTTATGTATATACTTTTATTTTTAAATTTTACACCAAATTTTTGAAAAAGTGAACTAAAAACAACTTTAGTTAAACAATGTAACATGTAACAAGAAGATAATCTCTAGACAAAAGGAGTGTTTTTTCACCGTAAAGAAAGAATTACTCAAGATCATAATGTCTTCCAATTGCATTTCTAGTACGTCTTTTCTTAATGTTCTTTATTTATATTTTCATTTTTTAATTTGACCCAATTTGTGTGTGTTTATATTTTTCTATGCAAAAAGCATTAAACAATGATTTACTATTGATGAACTAAATCTCTACAGTAATGTCTTTAAAGGCCTAACAATGACTGAAAAATGTAAAGGAAAATGCCCAAAAATAATTAATAAAGAAAACCTTAGCTTCATCAAACGATGCATTAATAAAAGTTAAATTTGCACTAAATAAGACTAAAACATAAGTAATTTGTAATGTAGGACATAAACCCTTTTATTCTCTAAATAGTACGTACTTAATCATGTCTAGTTAGGGGAATAATGTCCAGTGATAGTAGAGAATATTTACATGAATAATGACTAATAAATAATGACCAATGATCCTACATTGGAAAATAAAAACATATGGTTCTATATTGATCAAACATCATTATGTTTTAATCCTATTTAGGTAAATTCTCCTAATGAAAATTCATAAAGACTTCATCGGTCAAAATATTAATCCAAGTAGGCATTAAACAAAACAAGCATTCACAAAGACTTTAAGGTAAGCACATCAAACACAATTTTGAACTGAGAAACAAAACAAAGGATTACGACATTCTCACTCCACGACATTGAGTGGGTTACATACTAAAACTCCATTAACAAACTCATATTGTCTTCCAAATATGAAAATAATTAGTCTTTGACAGCAAATGCCGATTAACCCACTTTAGCTGTCCAAGTTCAAAAAGATCACCAAATGCCAACTCTAGCTCTCAATTTCTGCAAATCCCAAGTTTTCAACACTTCCTTCGCCACTTCTACCCCTTTCCAGATATTACATAAGCATGTGATCTTTAGACTTGCTTTTGTCAATCAGTGAGCGATCATCACAAAGTCTCTTATATATCTGCCAAGTGCATAAATTATAGTACTATTACTTTTAAAAAAATGACACATGAAAAGGCCAACATGTCAAACAAATCATTAGAACATATCACTACCCTTGTGCACCCCAATGCTGGCCAAAACATATACTCTCACACCTTCAAAACACAAGTCAAAACACAATAATACTGCCTATTTTCACAAAAAATAATGACTAAAAATTATGTTGTAAAGGAACATGTTTTAATGATGTCAAAGCCACATTTACATGAAGACATAACCCTAATCTTATTACACCATGTGTGTGTATACAGTCATCATTACATCAAAACCATCATACTGATCACATATCTCTCGTGATAACAATGTTTATACACTCATACTCTTAATGTCTTATTCCGCATTAAAAAGTCTTTACAAACCCATTATAGACAATGCCTTAACTAATTTTTCAGCAATTGTAATATAAAAGTAGAAAAATTTACCAAAATAGGACTAAAATATAATGATCGATTTTCCCAATATAAGACCATATGTTTTTATTTCCTAGGATCTTTGGTCATTATCTTTTAGTCATTATTCAAGTAAATGACCATCATTACTGGACATTATTCTTCCCACTAAGACATTATTGATTCCTATTTGGGGAATAAAAAAGTTTAAGTCTTAAATTAAGAAATGAAATACTATTCAGTGCAAATTTCACTATTGCCAAAATATTTAGAATCAAAGACATTTAAGCAAACATTTAAACTCAAAGACATAACAACCAATATAACAAATATCATACATGAATCTTCCGATCAAAGACATTACAATACATCTCAATTTGAAAACAATACTCCGTACTATATTCAAAGACATTTTTACAAACACCATCCATGCATGTTCCGATCTTACAAGACAAATGCACATATGTTGCGTTTAAAGACGAAAAAATCAATTTACATACCCTGAGGTGGTTTTCACTCATTCCTGGTCTGCGACTTTGGAATTTCATCGACTAATCATCATCCTTCCTGGGCCTCCACGCTAGTGCTCGGCCGCTATGCTTCTTTACGGAAAAGCTAATTTCACAGAAAAGTAGGAATGGCTAAGAACCCTACGTGGGAAGGAAACATGATGTAAATGGTAAATGCAGCAGCAACTCATGCCGTTTTTTTCGATGTAATTCGATCACCAGCGTGCGTGGAGTTTAGAATCTAAAATTAGAGGTTATTTTAGTCATTTTCTATTCACAAACGTGTGGTCAAATAGGACCACTCCTATTTAGGGAAAACCTGCACCTTCTACTCCTATTTCTGTAAATTACTCATATCATATACCTTCTCTGTAAAAGTAGAGTCTGGGACAGTGTGCGTACGAAAATCTTGCCACTACTCAAAAAATGTAGAGAAATTGTTTGCAAGTGGCCTATCAAACTCAATTAATTTAAATAATTACTCCCTCCGTCCGGGAATGATGTTCCCAGTTTGACTTTTCTTCATTTTTAAGAGTGGTTGATTATGGGGAGGAATGGTCCAAAATACCCTTCACTAATGAACAACCCAATTTCCGCTAGCCACCATCACCGGCATCTCTTACCACCCCACCTTCTCTACCAATTCCCAGTCGCCGCCAGCCCCCCACCACAACCGTCGGTCTGTCGCTCGCCGCCATCCCCCACCACAATTTCCGCTACCCTTCACTAATGAACACCCCAATTTCCGCTAGCCACCATCGCCGGCATCTCTTACCACCCCACCTTCTCTACCAATTACCGGTTGCCGCCAGCCCCCTACCACAACTGTCGGTTCGTCGCTCGCCTCCATCCCCCACCACCACGGCCAACCCCACCTTCTCCACGAACACCTACAGTGCCGTCAGCCTCTACCACAACCTCCTATCCCTCCATCACCGACATCCCCCTCCATCGCAGATTTAGAAAAAAGAGAAGACCTGCGAGGAAGGGAAGAAGAAGAGGAAGAGGCAGAGGGTGATTCTGTCACAGATCTATTTAGATCTAGAAGAAAAAGGGGGATCTGTGTGGATCGGTGTGGAGGATGATGAGAAGAAGAGGAAGAGGCAGAGGATCTAGAAGAAGAGGAAGAGACGGAGGATGATGAGAAGAAGAAGAGGGGGAACTGTGTGGATCAGAAAAAGAGCAGGGGAAGAAGAAGAAGTAGAAGAAAAAGGAGAAGAAGATTGAGGTGGAATCGGAGAAGGAGAGAAGAAGAATGAAAAATGAGGAGAAAGAGGGGAAAAAAGAAAGATAAGGAAAAAGGAGAACCGAAGGAAAGACCGGAAGAATAAAAGAGAAAGAAAGAAAAGAGGGAGAGGGTAGTTTCGGAAGAATGGTAAAAAATAAGTAGAATATGAACATCATTTCCGGACGGGAAAAAACGTACAATGGGAACATCATTTCCGGAAATGATGTTCCCATTTATTTGACTACATCAATAATTGAGTTTTGAATTATGATTCAAGAAACACGAAATAAATGCACTCATTTTTCTCCACCAAATCACACCATATCAATCTCCTCTCCCCTTGTAGTGCAATCCAACATTATTTGGGCGGCTAATTACGATGTTAATCTCAGTCCATATCAAATCTCCCCTCTACTTAATACGTCTGATCTAATTAGATTTGATCTGATTTTTTTATTATTTGGTCTGATCTGATTAAATCTAATTTGATTTCATTAAACTTAGCCTGATCTGATCTGATCTGATTGTAGGTATATTTATAAGTGTTTCTAGGCTGGTCTAATCTGATCTAGTCTGATTGGATATGATCTCATTTGATTTTAATAAGAATACGTAATAAGCTAAAAAAGAAGTAAAGAGCACAAGTGTTTATTTTAAATAAATAACCCGTCAGAATTCGAATCGGATAAACAGAGATTAAATCCACCCTACACGTGCAAAATAACTGACGAATACGGGCCGGATCTGGATCCAAACTCGACCCAATCTACCTACACCCCACCAACACCAACACAATCTCTTTGATCAGCACTATCAATAATGCTGAATGGGTGCTGCCACACCAGTGGTTTCAAATTATACTTCGTATAAATTTAGTAAGCTGTGTGAAATAACAATATTTTTTTTTGTTTTCTTCTCTAAAAATTTTGAAAATAGGTCAAGTAGAAAACTTTTTTTTTGTTTTATGTTCAAATTTTTGTAGTAAAAAAGCAAAAACCATTTTAAATAAGTACAAACCCCAACCTGATGCACTGCATGAGCAGAAGAGGGCAAAACCACCAGCATTTCTCACCAACTGACACATAACAGATAACAGATTAACAGAAAGGCAATGTCTTATGCAGGCTTCCGGACTTCGAGAACTTCTTGAAACATTTCTCGCATCAATTCTCTGTCAGCCTGCCTGAAGAAGTTGTCCATTTCCTCCTTCAAATCGTAAATCTTGCCGAAGTCGAACAGATAAGTCAAGCATCCCTTCTTCAGTTTATAGAGCTGGTAAATCCAGGCCTCTTGCAACCTGTCAAGGACATTTTCGGTACTGATATCTTCCAAGAGACTCTCCTCGCAAGCATCTTTCATGTCTGCAATGTCATACTTGTTTGCAGCTCCCAGCAGTGCCAATCGGTGTTTCCAGAAATCCTCCTGCTTAATCGTCCCATATAAGTACCCCAGGAGTGCCATGCACGAATCGGTTGTCATGTCTTCAATGTTGATGGTTGACGACTCTTTTTCCTTTAGGTTATGGAGGAACATGCCATGGAACACCGGAGAACTGGCAGAGAGAACTGCCTTGTGAGCTTGTAGTGACCCATCGGCTGTGTTGATGGTTACATCAGCATGTATGGACTCATAAAGCATGCGAGAGAGACACCGGAGGGTTGTTTGGGTAGCCAGAGAATTCATCATGTGGTCACTAGGCCATATGGAAGTCCCTTCACCCTGTGTTTTAACCAATATGGTAAATATAAGAGAATTTTTGTAAATGTAAATATATACGGATTTAGACACCAATCGAGTTTTGCTGAAAAGGGGGTCCAAAGTTGGTCCAAAGGAAGAATGTGAGTGTGCACAAATGTGTTATTATAGTAAGATCAGATGCAATAATTTTGTAATGCGCTCACATTTTTTTGGTAGATCTTCAAGTCATGAAACTCAACATCAATGATAAGGTGTCCTTGGAGGTTGGAATCAATGGGCCAAACAAAATCATCACTTGACCTAAGAACTCTTTCAAAAACTACAACACGAAGAAAGAGGTAATCATGCACATATAAAAATAAAACAACCGGCTGGAATTCCCTATCCATTGAAGCAACAATAGACTTGAAAACCAAGAGAAAGCAATAATTGATTCTCATATCCGAAAGTTGTGAAGTTCTATTGGAACACAATAACATTGGAAAAGCAATGTCATATGAGGTATACACCAAACTAAAGATACTCCTAAACAATTAAAGTATGAGTTAACATGTCGACACTAGACATCTCAACTAGTAAAACATTGACAAATGAACCATTTAATCCGCAACCCGTACTTACAATTCATTTCTATCGTGGGTTAAGACTCAAAACTATTCTTCCCTCCCAGAAAAAGATTTCACATTCGTTTTATATTTGCACCACAAAGCGTTCCATTTTCTTCTTTTAAGAAAGAACAGTGTGGTCCATATCATTCCACTCTTTCCTGCACAATTCTCAACTACAAAATTTCACCTCTCTTAGCAATCATTCTCAGTCAAATGTGGCAGCTTATTCTAATACAACATTCACACCAACCAGGCAGAGGCATTGAATCAAAACTCAAAGCAAGCAAAGGAGTTGCAAGCGAAGTAACTCTATAATTATAATAACTAATGATAACAAACTTTGACATCGAATTGTCACTTTACGCAGATCCAGACAGTAAAAACTGTGCAAAATGAGCACTTTGGTGTACAAATTGCAAATTTTACAGTACTAATAAATGTGAGTGCAAGAGGAAAGAAATACAAGAGCCTGCCTTGGGAGATGAGGGGCCGGCGGTTGGTGGACGGAGCTGTGACTTTGAGGACAAACTTTGCAGAAGGAGGCTGTTCCTTCGAAGCCCGAGAAGGTTCAGGGAACAGCCGAATATACACGTACCGGTTCTTCTCAACTGATAAATGCCTATCAAGTTATAATCATCACCAATCAATTCCCAAAAAAAAGAAGGAAAAAAAACAAGAACCAAACATTCCTATTTCCATCACCAATAGAAGAATGAAATGGTTATACTAAAGTATTTCCATCGCCAATAGAAGTATCAAATGCTTATATTACAGACACAGAACCAACTTCCTCATCTCAAGATCAAACTTACCAGTTCCAGATGCCGATTTTGAACGGGTCGGATCGCTTGTAAGTCGAGGGTCCGAAACCCTCGATCCTCCACTGCGCCATCCTTGAAATCGTCTCGACCTTGGAGTCCGACATGATTCCAGTTTCGCTTTCAATGTGACGACGGGACCGGACTTCAGTTCTGGGTTCCAAGCCCTCCCCTTCCCCCCCCCCCCGATTTCAGAATTTCCTTAGCAGTGAAGGCTTTTCCAGTAGCTTTTGACTTAAACTTACAGTGAGCTGAGAGTTCACCTTTTTCTTGGTAAACGGTCATTTTAATCCTCAACAGTGCGGGGTGAAGTTAAAGAGCGGTTTGGGCAATGGTGAAAGTGGGAATGGATAAATTAATTTAGGGATTGGTATTATTCTAATGGGGAAGGTTCCCATGACATTGGAAACCAATGTCATGGGATGACCCGAGGGAGCTCCGGTGCCCCGTTCGTAAAATTGACGGTTCCTACCCCTCCTAACCTCCAGGTAAACCCCCCACCCCGCCCCGACCCGAACACACCCCCCACCCCCTTCAATTGCACCCCACAAGTCGATTTTAACTTTGTAGTCAAAATTAGTCAAAATCGACTTGTGGGGTGCAATTGAAGGGGGTCGGGGGTGTGTTCGGGTCACTGGAGTGGGGGGTTTACCGGGGGGTTAGGAGGGGTAGGAACCGTCAATTTTACGAACGGGGCACTGGAGTGCCCCGGGTCATCCCATGACATTGGTTCCCAATGTCATGGGAACCAAGGGATATTCTAATTCCACCTTTTAACTTTGACAAACTATGTAAATTTACTTTTAATCAAGATTATGTCTCTTCTTTTCTCCTATCTCTCAATATATAGATCAGTGTTATCATCTTCTCATTTACGATTTACTTGGCCAAATTTCATTCAATTTGTTACTCCTTCCGTCCAATAATGTTCTTCCCGTTTGTGTTTACAATGTTTAACCGACTTTATTTTCAATTCAGTTTATTTGATTATTGGTGTAAAATTTAAAAATAAAATTTATATATTCAAAACTATATCAAAAATTCTAGTGACAAGACATTAATATTTTATCAAATACCTAATGAAAATAGGTAAATAAAGTGATTAAAATTTGACCGTGTGAAAAATAACTGGGAAGAACATCTTAGGACGGACGGAAGAACATATTTTCTTTGTCTATTTGAAAAAAAATAATATAGTCATGTCATCTGTGATTTTATAGTCGTAGCACTTTTAATGTAATTTTTTTTAAAATATATAAATTTTATTTTTACAAAGTAAATTTTACACTCATAATCAAATAAATTAAATTGAAAATAAAATAGACCAAACATCATAATCTGAAACAATATAATGAATAGCCAATATAAACCCGGATTGATCAACTAGCCAATATAATGAATGTTTCAATTTTAAAAAAAATCTGAATTTTTTTTTTAGATTTTTGAGGTGTTGAATCAGACCACTTATTCGCCAAAGTCCTTTGACCATTATTTGATAAAGGCATAAAGCTCCCCTTTCACATTTGTCGGTATCATTGTCACAAGGACACGTGATATGATGAACATGTATCCAAATCTCTACCCCCTTAATCGTATTTCAGTTATTTAGTCTCAAATCATGTTATCTTCAACTGATCTGAATGATTCTAGTCTGATTGAAATAAATCTTGATATCTAATCTGAATGTAATTATATTTAAAATTATTTCTAAACTAATTTTATCTTGTCTGATCTTATTCCAATAAGAATAAATAATCAGAATAAGTTGAAGAGAACATTATCTTAGAGCATCTTCTCTTCACCTCTAAATGGTTCTGATCTTATCTAATTTGAATGTAGTTATATTTAAAACTATTTCTGATTTGATCTGATTCTAATAAAAATAAGTAATAAGTAAAAAATAAGTTAAGGAGAACATTGTCTACACTTCCAACCCACCATTGAATTATACTTATCACAATAAAATGATGACCCCATTCTTCAATTTTTTGAAGAGCAATGCTAGGGGTGTACACCATTTGTCCCCACCCCCTTCTCCACCATCCATTTTTATTTAATTTTTATTTATTTAATTTTTTTTGAAGTTTTTGCCCATTTATGTGGTGGAGGAGGGGGTGGGGGACAAATGAGGCATCCCTTTTTTGAATTGAATTAAATGAAGACCTATTTTTCTTTTTTGAATTGAATTAACACACACCCAGTGTCATGACAGAACTAAAATGATCACAAAAGACCTGTTTTTTTGAAGAAGTCAGTGGACCCATACAACTCTCACACAAAATGGACCTCCAAGTCCCAGAGGAAATGTGCAATCATTTACTCAGTGATACAAGTAAATAATAGATTGAATGTTAGTATTACACTTATTATGTTAAATGAAGATCATTAAGGATATCTTAAACTTGAGCAATTGGTAAGTTTTTAAGTGTGAAACAGATCTGAAACAAGATTGGATGAGTTTGTTAAGGTGACACACTTTGACAGGGGCAGCAAACCAGGTAATCTGAACTGCAAACAAAGCAATATTATAATTTTTATAATTAAAAAAGAAATTTAAGAGGGAGAATTCATGAAGTGACCATTTCAAAAATGACCTTTTCATGTACATGATCGGCCGTTAAGACAAGAATCTGATACACTATCCACACGCATATATAATGAGAAGTACAGCTCAGTCTTCGGGTTGGAATTCGAGGTCAAGTTTCCTCTTCAGATGTGATCTGTCAGCACTGCACACAACGAATACAACATCGCTAGAATTCATAATGACACGTCAATAAAGCGGCTGCTGAATCATGCATTTTGGAAAACTTGCATAGAGAAAAACAGCCCATCTGCCAGTGGCAGAGGCTTGCAAAAATAGGTCAACACATTGTGGAATTTCAAGTTTACAAAGTGCAGAAACCCCATTGACACAACCATCCATTCAAAATAGATTGTACTCCAAAGAATATCAGGGTTCTAGTGATTAGAAAAAAAAATTGCATTCCTTACCTGTTGATTGTTGGCCTGGAAGGTGGTTTCATCCCAAAGACAGAGAAATCCAAGGACATGGGAGCCTGTCCACTCCTCTCAGCTGGTTGTCTAAATTCATTCCCATGGCCATCAGCCTTGTCCAGTTGTGGGGCATTTCCCTCTAATCCCTCACGAGTGGGCATCACTCTTCTTGACTTTCGTGGAGGAGATAACACAGTTGGTCCGTCTTGTGGATTAAAATCAGAAACTTTGGCATCATTTGGGTCCCTCTTTGGTGGAGGTTTTGGGAGCTGAGCTGGCTCGGTCGGTGGAGGAAGAGATGAAAAGTACCTAAACAAAGATAAAGGTTGAGTCTAATCTAGACCATCAATAACTACACGGGGTAATCGCTAAATATGCAAGGCTAAGAAGACAAACCGGTGTTCCAATGCTTGCTGTGCTGAAATCCTAGCTTTCGGATCATACATAAACATCTTGGATAAGAGGTCTAGAGCATCATCGCTAGCCATCGGAAATAGGGTACGCAGAGGCTGTCCTGGAACATATTGGTACTCAACATAATCAGGCAAGTACACCATATCAGCCCACTGGGATGGTTTTGGGGTGCCAAAAGCTGCAAAAATCTTTCCCAGCTGATCAATGTCACTGTTCCCCTAATGATATTGCATGTATGCTAAACTAGGTTAGGAAATACAAAACAAGCATGAGAAATGAAATTTTTTTAAAGAACATTAAACCAGAAAAAAAATGCTGCAGGGGGGGGGGGGTGGACGGAAATGGTATTCTGGATATGTTCATATTCCATTGTTTTTCTATCCGTGCATACAGTGACCCTAAAAAGAAATTTTTCTGTTACAATATCTTCCATATGATGGAATCACCTTGTTGCAACATCTTATTTGTAAAACTCCGGATTAAAATGAAATAGGGCTATGAAGCTTAGATTTTGAAATGAAAAAGTGTGAAGAAAGCCTCTTATATGTCATTCATAAACTATGTGGGAAATACTCCCTCCAATATTCATCCAATATTCCAGTTTAGGCTGCGTTCTGTTCGCCTAATCCAATCTGATCCGATTTTTTGAAGTTTTAATTAGGTCTGATCTGATCTAATCTGATCTGATCTCGTTTGGTTTGATATGATTGAATCTAATCTGATATAAATTCGATTTGAATTAAAATTATTACACTGTATTATAATAGTTATATTTATAGTAATAACAATAAAAAATATAAATAATAATAGTAATAGTAATAATAATAATAATAATAGAAATAATAATAATAGTAATAATAATAACTATGATAATAATAGTAATAATGATAGCAATAATAATATAAATAATACAAATACTAATAATAATAGAAATTTTAATAAATAATAATAGTAATAATAATAATAGTTATATTATTAATAATAATAGTAATAGTAATAAATATAGTAATAAAAATAACAATAGTAATAATAATTATAATCATAATATTAATGGTAATAATAATAACAATAGTAATAATGTTAATAATATTCATAATAATAGTAATAATCATTATAATCGTAATAATAATAGTAATAATAATAATAATAATATTAATAGTAATAAGTACTCCCTCCGTCCCCCTAAGATGTTCTCATTTTGACTTTTGGTGGTTTTTAAGGAGAGTTGAAAAAAGGTGAAAGTTTACCATAATACCCTTAATGAAAATGGGTGGAGTGTATTAAATGAGGTGGGTGAGGTGTAATAAATAAAGTAAGTAAGGGTAGTTGTGGTATTTTAATTGTTAAAAATGAAATGAGAAGATCTATTGTAGACAAAGAAAAAGGGCTATTGGGAAGATCTATGGGGGACGGGGGGAGTATAATAGTAATAATAATTATAATCATAAGAATAATATTAATAGTAATAATAATAATAATAATTTTGTTTAGATCTGATCTCATTAGACCTGATCTCTTCTAGCCTTATCCGATCTAATCTGATTGGATCTGATCTGGTATGATTTGATTTTAATAAGAATAAGTAATAAGCAGAAAAAATAAGTTGAACGGATTGCACCCTTAATCATCAATTGCATTAAATATTAATAGAATGAAATAAATTTTTGAAAGGTTTATGCAAGAAAAATCTAATGAACTCACTTTTGTACCAATAACGCAATACTTTTTTTTATCTAATTCATAATCAAAGTCTCAGTTTGACTCAAAAATTTCAAAGTGGACAGATACTCTGCCTTGGAGGTTGAAATATAATAGACATGGTCAACTGTAGTATTTGGATTTTGGATCAATAGTAGGAAACCACAAAGCCAAAACCATTTGAGTGGTTAAGGGCAAAAAATGTTTACGCATCAAATGTTGAACAATTTTGAAACTTAGGTGTTTTCCCATGTTACAAATAAAAAATGAGGATATTGCTGCTT